ATGATAAGGATCATTATCAGGTTTCTTCAGTTTGCTGATGAGCTATGTGGCCAAATGAGAAAACCCTAGAGGATTTTATTTTTTTTTTTGGCAACTCAATACTCACATAAGCTGGTGAGGCCTTGGGGAAGAGTGTGACAATTTCACGGACATTGAGATACTGAGGACATTCCCTTTTCACACAAACACTAATGCAGTTGAATTCCTTCTAGTACACTTGACTTTCATATCATCTTATTTATGTGTTCCCTTTTGCAGAATAGGCATATTGTTTGTCAAGCAGCTGACAAATGATTATTAGACTGAATGGAGTCAGCTGCACGACTCACCAGTTAAAAAAGTCACATGCAGCTCATCACGCTAACTCAGGGGTCGGCAACCCAAAATGTTGAAAGAGCCATATTGGACCAAAAAAACGAAAAACAAATGTGTCTGGAGCCGCAACAAATTAAAAGCCTCAGACAGAAGGCAACACACGCTGTATGTACGTATCTATATTAGCCTACTATTGTTACACCCGCGCTGCAAGAAGGAGCGATACCACCGCTTGTTCTTACCGACTGCTGTCAGGCTGCTGAATAAACATACGTGAAAACCTGTAACCATTGTAAAAAGCACAGCCACCTTATGCTGCATATATGCAGTTGCATATATGCTTAGATCTATATCTATATCTTATATTTATATTGCATTCTGTACTGTTTTCTGAAACATTTACTTGTGCATGCAACACTCTGTTTTTTTTCTTTTCTAACGTCCCCCCAATTCTGCTGCTGTAGACTGCAGATTTCCCCAGTGTGGGACAAATAAAGGTTATCTTATCTTATCTTATCAAAATGACGAAGTTGGCTACAAATACACAACGAGTCTTCCCGATTAAACATTTTTTCCCCTTCAGTGCATCCTGAAGAGCAGGGGGGCCCAACCTTTTCACAAATACACAATGAGTCTTCCCGATTAAACATTTTTTTCCCTTTCAGTGCATCCTGAAGAGCAGGGGGGGCCCAACCTTTTTTGACCAAAGCTCTAGTTTTCGATAAACCAGCCTCCCGCGATCGACCCGTGACCGCATACGCATGCAAACACACACACTTACACATGCATGCTATAATGAGCAACAGCCATTACGTCAGCTAAGATGAACGAGGCACGGGACGCACTTTTGCAGCGTGTTAACTTGCGTAGCTGACGTGTGCCGTTTTAAAGTGCTTCTCTCTGTCCTTCATATTGGCATTCTTTGCCAGTTCCCTCGGTGAATTGGACATGAAACACCGTTTCTTCTTACAACAGCCACCTGCCTGGCATCCCGCTCTGCTAATAGAAACGTGTGTCGCAGGCTATGACGCAAAGCTTCGTTGACAGAAATGCTGAAATGTAATATTTATTCGACATATTTTTTACATCATTGGAAAATGTTAAGAATGTTTGTCCTCCTACAGAACACATATTCAAACAAAAAATATATTTTCATTACCCCATCTTTTTCCATTTTCAAACATTTTAAAAAGCTCCAGGGAGCCACTAGGGGGCGCTAAAGAGCCGCATGCGGCTCCGGTGCCGCGTGTTGCCGACCCCCGCTCTAACTGCTTCCACCAATACGTTAAATACCGTGTTTATGAACCCAATTGGCCAGCTTGTAGCCCATTTGACCATTTGACATCACATGAAATCCAACGATGACTTGCCAATCTGTTTTAAACAATATGAAGTAGAAATCTGAAGTGGAAACCAAGTTGCGGGGCATTATTTTCCCCCTCAAATACCATCATGTGAAAGTTTTGCCTCCCTTGAGTAAGTTTGACCCCATCTTGTAAGCCAAGTGTTTTTAACAACAGTCCTCTAACTTTAAACAGTGGCCGATTTGCAGTGCAAGTAATCAATTGAGAGTCCCACGCAAGCATGCACCTTTGTGTAAAATGGAAGGATATGACAGTGCAACTGTACTGTGCATTTTGGCATCATTTTGTGTGAATAAAACACATTGTACAGGGTGTCTGCAAAATCTGGGTACAAGGTCACAAACATACATCTGAAAACAAAACCATTTTATTCATTTTTAATGCCGCTAAATATTTTCAACATGATTTCCATCATTTTCAATGCATACTTTCATGCACTTTGCAAAATTCAGGTGACCACTCTGACCACTGCAATCTCCAATGTACCGACTTTGTGGACACCCTGTTATGGAGCACAAAGCAGGTCTGTAAGCGAATAATTGGGGTTAGAATGGAGCTTGAGGAGCTGCCAAAACATAAAGCTGTAAAAATGGAAAGGAAGTCACATATGCAAGGCTGTGTGTGAATGTGTGTCTATCTGTGTGTGCGTACATAGGCAGGAGGTGGGGATGGGCTTCTTTCTGGATGGTTAGTCTTATCTTCATGCACACTCACATGTATGCCACACCAGATGGCCACAGAATACATAGCCGCTAATGGCACCACTTGATCATGTCTGGGATGTGCTATAAATCAGTATATTAACAATGAACACATGTCATACATATAGTTTGATTGATCCCCGCGTGACACATAAAGCCATTTCATGAAAAGAGAGAAAGCACTCAGAGGACCTTGTAGATTTAGCCGCGCGTGCCTGATTGATGGCCGACCGGAGAGATGTCGCAGGCATTATCCTCGATTTCTGATAGCTCTCATGTTCGCATGTACATCTTGTTTGTTTACTAAGACATCACATTGCTGCTGTCTATGTGGTGAGATTTAATTAGTCTGCTCTGTAGAGCTGTTTTCCTTTTTAACATCTTTGGAAACAAGTGGTTATGAGCTCTGATGAGAGTGAGCACGATACACGCACACACCACGACTACACTGCTCTTCTATACTGCAGACATTCATGAATATTTCTTTAACGTATCAAAGTTGCACACAAATAAAAATCAAATAAGAATAAAAACAATAATGTCATTGTCAGGTTTCCAGAAAAGTTCCAGACAAAATTGGGATTCCACAATCATAGCCACAGGTAAGTTCTAACAAAAATATATTCGTTTCAAAACAAAGGCAAGACCAACAAAGAACCAAGAAAAGGTGAGAACAAACAGAAAACACTTGCAAAAGGCAAGGAACGAGAAAAATGTAAATTGCTTGTCAACTCAAAGGACAACAGAATCCAATGCACGAGAATCCAAACCAAGAATACGCAAGAAAATAATTACCGGTACATGAAAAATACTATGAACTACTGAGGCGAAAAGCTATGGGCAGGAAAAATATGTCAAGAACGTCTAGAAAATTAAAACATTTGGCGTTGCAAGCAAGACTTAATAATCCAACAGCCAGTTGTCGGCGTGGCGTGGCTTTTAAAGGCAGCTTAAAGGAAACCAGGATGATTAGTGTCAGGTGTGGATCATGAGAGAACGCCCACTCTCCAGCCGGAGACTGAAAAAAACAAATAAATAAAAACCAAAACAGAAAACAAAGCAAACAGGACAGCATCATGACATTCATAATTTCTTTTAAACATTAACTTCATTTGTCACATAACCTTTGTAGATAATTGCTTTAATGGCACAGGTCTTAAACAAGATCCATCCCTGACCATCACCTGTTGAGTGGCAAATGATTGCCACAATGTTTCCTAGATTTCTGTTCAAAACTCGCTGGCAAAGAGGTAATATGTTGGGGAAAGAATTAGCACACAGAGCATACGTATTAGCGAAGGGACAAGAGGAGGAACTGCCTGGTGCTCAAGCCCCACGCCAAATCTGTAAGTGCGCAAACACAGTGCAGCTCTGCTTGTGGCTCATGGACATCATGGCCGGTGATATGTGTTTGGCAGAACGTCAAACTTGAAACGGCATCACGTCATTGTGGAGAGCAGCGCAGAAAAATTAAATGACAGTATGGAGCGTCGCGCTAACCTGACTTCCAGCAGGATTTAAATGGCAGCACCCGGGCTCTGACCCCATTTACGCAACATTTGTGGGGCATTGCAGAACTGCATGGAAGAGAATTTAAGCACCGACATTTTTGAAATATGTAATCAAAGTCAAATGCATCATTGTAGGAAATAGTAAACTCGTGTGTAATCTAACAGTATAAATGCTTATTTGTAAGATATTTTGCAATGAAGAATGGGCAAACATTTCAGAAAGAGGATGACAACACAACCCAAAAAATTGAATTCAAATTTGGACATACTTTTGCCCAAAACAGTTTTCAGATTTGTATTAAAAATAAATAAATAAATAAATAGAGGGGCATGGGGGTGCATTCACGAAATCCCAATAAAGTAAACTGATGTTTGAGGCTGTGACATGACAAAATATGAAAAGGTTCAAGGGGGTACAAGCACTTTTGCGAGGCACTGTACATTGGGGCCTATTTTGTTCTTTTATCAAAATCTGGACAAAGACGTTTACAGTCTTTTGAAACTTTAAATTGTGTGGACGCTTCATTTAAAAAGTCCGGATTTCGGGTCTGTCCCTAACTCGGCTTCTTGAAATGAATTCATTTAGGTGCATGGAAGGGGATTTGTCTGGCAAGTTAAATCTCTCACTTTCACACATAAATTTATGAACAAATCAGTAAAATACAAATTGTGTCTGCTTTGTTTACATCAATCCAAAGTTTGTACCACCTATCTTGTGCAGGCTGATGGGGAGTTGGGTTGCAGCCCGCATGGCATCGGCACGCAGACAATCAGTCAAGCAGAGTGTTGCCACATACACAGACAGCAGGATTAAATGTTTTAAACAGCAAACACAGTAGAATACTTGTGTGGATTTGTCACTGATAATAAACAACCACTGTGAAGGACAAAATGTCTGCAATGTATTTGTGCATGTTTTCGAATGGAGATGTGAAACATGGGTATTATCGTGCACAAGACATTTGAGACGCCAGTCAGTAAGCGCTCTATATTTAGCTAGCTGAGGGACGAGGTGACTCGGTGTAACGGCAACACTCGGACACACACCACTGGACCTTATACTTTTTCACCTGCTGCTGCTGTTTTGTGGGCACTGTATACCACTCGCAGGAGGAGGTGGGTTTTAAGGATCCCAAAGTAAGCAGGACAGAACAAAGTGCCTTCAAGAATGGCCGTGCCGCTTGGGGCAGTCATCTGTTTCCAAACGAGAACAGAGCTTGGTGATTTGTGAAACGAGGGTTCGAGGAAATTACAGTATGTGCCAGTCAGAAGTAGCAGAGGCCAGACCAGGCCTAAGCAGTCCCGACCCGCTGGTGAGAGAGGCCTACTTGATGGCCCATGACTACATAGACTATGTCATCACAGGCGGGATGGACGGAAGAATGGGTCCTGCCCCCACTGCCTGCACTAAAGCGCTTCGCTACGCTGGAGATGTGCTCCTTACACGCTTCCCCATCTTCTTCAGGCGCTGGCCACGTGTCTTCCAGGATGTGACAGAGAATACAGCCTGTCCTAAGCTTATGAAGATCCTAGATGAACACTTCTTTCCCATTGATCCCAGGGGACGACGCCGTGACCTGGCATGGAGCGCAATATTGTCGGTCTATATTCTAGCTGGCCAGATGGCCATGTATTGCCAGGAGAATGGCATGGCGGTGATTTTGCCTCAGCTGAAGGAGTGCGTGGGTGCTTATGTGGAGAGGGTCATCTGCCCTGATATCAGAGAAAAGGGAGGATGGGTATGTATTTGCAATTTGAAAATATTCTTGCTCACAGAGCGCAGTCACAATCATACATTGAGGTCCATCCATTATTTTGCACTTTGACCGTTTTCATTTGATTTTTTTTTTTTTTTCAAAAAAACACGACAACAGATTTCAAAAAAACATGATGTGATTGAATTGGAGTCTTTCCTTTAAGGGCTCTATTTTGAATGAAAGCGAGCCTGCGGCGGAGTGCAAATGCTGGTGGATTTTGATTTTAAGGCTTGCTGAGCATTAAGCAATTTGGCAAACCGATCTCCGGCAAGCTGGGCGGGCTGGTGTAGCAGAAGGGGTGTCTTGGAGATGTGCCTCACGGAGTGACAATTTCGAGATAGAAAATCAATCTAACCTTCCCCTTGTCCAGACCGTGGCCAACACCGGCGCAAGGATAGACGGTTGGTCAGATGCAACCCATTATATTCATAAATATTAGAACAGTGGGCATCAAACACTCTGAATCACTGTATTAATTTTTAAATCATCCGACTGGGGTAGCACAGCTACGGACGATGATGAATGGGTGGGGACAGAGTCCAACTGCCCACTTCATGGCACAAATGTGCTTCCGCCATGTTAAAAAGAGACACTTTCATTGGCCATGATTGAAGTCGGCTGTGACCACAGTGCTCACTAGCACACATTCACCGGCCTACGTCTGTCTGCTAAATTCTCAACATCGGGTAGAGCCTGATTCCGCCACGTGCTGTGCAAATTTTACACCAATCATGAAAATAGAGAATTCAGTCTCTCCTTCAATTTTTTTTTTCCAAGAGAATTTACCTTTTAGGAATTACAGACATTATAAAGAGATAATCTCAATTTTCGGGGCAACTGAGGTAATTGTCAATAAAGCCACAGATTTGAGCAGTGAGGAATATTCCATTTCTTTTCTATTTACCCTTTCAATTTTAACTTAATCACACTTTAGTATGTGTAGCATCACCCCCTCTACCGTATTTGACAGTTGACATAGTATGGATCGTGAATCTTCTCTGAGAAAATTAGCCACCCTGAAATGCTTTTTTTTTTTTTTTTTCGAGGAGAGGGTGCGGATTTGGAAACAGATATTCGGCTTGTGATTGAAAAATTATCTTGGATGTTTTGGAGGGAGGGTTGTCAACTAATAGATTTACTGTATTTGGGAACTATTTGATTATTATAACGCATGTACCGTACTTTTGAGAAATTTTGAAGTTGTGATTAAATTTTTGGCACGTGTTCCATCAGTAATGGAGGATAGTGGGAAATAAGAAATAAGGCAAATGCATAAAATTACGGAATACAGTGGTTTCATCACTACTCATAATGCACCATTCAGAGTCTGGCTCTTTGACCAAACTCTTCTGACAGTCAATCAGCGGCGGATACACACATACCTACACATACACAGTCAGTCCTTGTAGCCGCCGTGTCAGATGTAGATTTACATCCTGATATGAATGAGATGGGCGACACGGTGATCCACTGCTTAGCACATCTGCCTCATAGTACAGAAGTCAAGGGGCTCATTCCGGCCCCGGCCTTCCTGTTTGGAGTTTGCATGTTCTCCCCGTGCCTGCTTGGGTTTTCTCCGGGTACTCTGAATTCCTAACACATTCCGAAAATATGCATGGTAGGTTGATTGAATGCTCCAAATTGTCCCTAGGTGTGGTTGTGAGTGGTTGTTTGTCTATGTGTGCCGAGCGATTGGCTGGCAACCGGTTCAGGGAGTACACCGCCTACTGCCCGAAGATGGCTGGGATAGTATCCAGCACACCAGCAACCCTCGTGAGGATAAGCGGCTCAGGGAGAGACAGATGAAAAAATGGCTTAAAAATGTTTAGAAGACCTTATTCAAAGGTATGATGATAGTGGTGGTGGGGGGAGGGGGGGGCATCGACACTTGGGGCTGACTTTACTTCTGTTAACAGCTTTTTCCAATTGCGTACAGCACAGAAACTAAATACAGCTTCACTCTGTTTACTTTGAACTCTGGGGTCCACTAATTGACACAGTATGCAGATCTCAGAGCTCTCCAGGGGTTATATTTATTAAGCAATTCTTTAATGTTTTCAGGACTCAAAACTATTTAGTGATTTATAGTTGCAGAATTGTATTCCACATCTGACTGGGAGTCAGTGCAAAGCCTGGAGTAATATGTTCTGATCTCTTTGTTCTGATCAGAAGCCAAGCTGCAGCTGTTTGATTCTCCTTTGAGAAAGGGCGCAAAAAGGATACCAGCCAATCAGGGTACCGTTATGAACAAAAGTACAGAGAAAAAAAAGGGTGATGGGGCGGGAGGAGGGGTGGGGGGGGTGAGTATTACATAAGGGTGCCAATTATTCACAGCAAATTACAGTACAGTAAATTATTTTGCATTTTACTTATTCTGGTCCATGCTTTACAATGATTTTCTTTATTAGTCCAATAATATAAATGATTTCAACATTAAAATAGCTGAATTTGTGTATTTCTTGTTCAAATACGTGGGTGAGAAGGGAAAGGCCGCTATGAGACTCATTACGCCCAAGTGCCTCAAGTGACTACACACACGTTAATTGATGCAGACAGTTATTGGTGCATGTCCTCACACAAGAGCCATTACTGTTTCTCTTCTCTTTCTATATTGCCAATATACATGTTGAATCACATATGTACTGCACATGCTGACGTTCAAAAGTATGTCTAATATATTTAATGAATGTGTGAGATATTTAGTCTTTATGATAGATCAGAAAAGCAAGTGAAGATGCACTATGGAGACAGGAAAATACTGTGCCGCTGCTGGCAGGCGGCAGTGCCGAGCACCATTGGCTTCGTGTGTAGAAGATGCATGACACACTTCCCATATATGCTGTGTCTTAATTCATTGGCAGTATTCTCCAAAATGAATTTGAAGGCCCCATGATGTAACTTCTGGTGTGCCCCAGCCGCACATCAGTTTCTAAATTAATGCAGCCTTTGAATCTAGCCTTCAAATCAAGCTTTTGTTTCCATGGTGATGAGCCCTGAGTGAAGGGTGCTTTAGAGTACACTTTTGTAGCCTACATTGCTCTGCTCTTCCACGCCACTCATCTTCTACACTTCAACATCTCTTCTACAACCGAGCACATTACCTCATCTTGCGGCAGTACAGAAGATAGTCAAATGAGAGTTGCTAGACTTGTCCAAGTTTTCCATGGTTTATACGGTCCACAGAGTCTACATGAAGAGGAACCAGCCTGCCAAGGGTCCTCGGAAGACGCAGTTTACGAATTTGGACATAGCAATAGCCACTGTAGAAAGCTTTGGTTGGTTGATGACACACAGTCCAAGCCGCCATCTTCCCAGGAGTCTCCGGGGATCTCTTCCATTCAGTTGTATTGAGGTATCTGTGTTTGGCACCAAAAATGAATCAAAACTAGTTGAATTCTTTATAGATCCTGACACAGATTGGTTTGTTTACCAACATCAGACGTGCAGTTATGATACCAGACATGTGGGTGTCTGGTATCATTCCATAATCATCAGGGTTTTCAAAACATATTCAATGTAAAGGAAATCCCAAATGCTTTAATTTTAAAAGACATCAGAGAAGGAAAACAATTAATTTGACCTTATATTAAATATTTATTTGTTTCATTGCTACATTGTTAAAGAGTGTGGAATTGATTAAAGCCTGTTTAAAAGCTTTGATAACAAATGAATGTAAAAATTGAAGTATCGGCTCACCTCTTCTATGATAGGTTCATATTTTTATATCCTGCGTCAGTGATGTGCGGTGAGGTTCCGAACTGGTGAGGCACTACTTCCCGGGAATCAGATATAAAAATATGAAGCCAAAATAGAACATTAGTCGAAATTTCTAATTTGATTTTCTAAAAAACATGTCTTAAATCTTAAATTGAGTTTTTGAATATTTGTTTTCAAAACTGTTAATAATGTTTCAATTGATTCCACATTGTTCAACTATGTGATAGCAAGAAAAACAAAAACAAAAAAATTGAATATAACGTCACGTTCCTCTCTGTTGTGTTGTTGCTTTTTGGGGGAGGAGTCTTTTTATGTAAAAATAGCATTCGATCTGCCCTTAATATGTTATGAAAGTCCCAATTGTAAAATTACCTAGGCGTCTGGTATCATGTGTGATGTTTCTAACAAACCAATCCATGTCAAATTTGTTACAGAATTCAAGGATTTATGAATTCACCGGAGCAGAACATAATAGTTGCCGCTTTAAAATTGTATTGAAGAGATCGCCAGGGACTTCAAGATGGTGGAGTCTGCATGTCCCCAACAAGCAGATGCACGCTCCAGAAATGGTTATCTATGTCGAAGGGCTTTTTCTACGCATTGCGCCAATGGAGCGCAACACTGCCACATGGTGGATGTGGCACCATACATACCAGACTACACTTTGCATTTTAAAGCGCTTTTCTGGTCACAAGAGTGATTAAATATCCATCCATCGATCCATCCAATTTCAACGTCGCTTATCCTGAACAGTGTCGCGGGAGGGTACTGGAGCCCACCCCAGCTGACTTCAAGAGGCGATTGATTAAATATGTCACACATATTCATGAAAAAAAAAAACTTCCACAAACTGTCAGCATGTGCAGTGCATGTGCGATAAAACATTTTTTCTGACGATAGAAAGACAAACAGCGATGTCTAAGTGAGTGCACAAGCCGACTGCCTGAGTCAGCAATGGTCAACTGCGGCTCCAAGCTTACAGTTCGCTCCGCTTCACTTCCTTCTCATTCTGCATTGTAAATACACACATCCAGGCATTTTAATGGGAAAATATTGATAATTATCGTATTGAAAAAGAAAGTTAATCGAAAGCACGGACTTTAATCAGTAACTAAAATGGTTTTAATTTGTATTTCCTTTTTTTTTTAACTTTCCACATGCAGACAGCGTCCAGCAGGTGGTGGTAGTGAGGCTCTGCCTAGTTTGTCGCCACTGACTGCTGCACAACCCGGTTTTAATTTACCGTGACTGGTTGACTGGTTGGCACGTCCGCCTCACAGTGTAGAGGTCTTGCGTTCGATTCCATGCCCGAAGCTTCCTGTGTGGCGGGGTGTGCTGGCGTCTATCCCAGCTGTCTTCTGGCAGTAGGCAGGGGACAACCTGAACTGGTTGGTTTCCAGCCAATCGTAGGGCACACAGATGAACAACATCCACGCTCACACTCACACCTAGGGACAATTCAGACTCTGCCCAATAAGTCCATCGTGATCGACCAGTAACTCGTGGACCGCTCCCAAGTCGATCGCGAAAGGTGTAGAGGAAAAAAAAAACAATCCAAAACATTTGTGTCTGTGTACGTGTTATTAATATATTTTTGTTAGTGCACACTGCACCCTGAGCATCTTATCTGTCTCACTTTCACAAAAATTATTTTTTTAAATAAAAAAAGCAGGTCACCTTTAACCTTCGGTGCCGCGTGACCTGCATCACCAGAGGTTGTTACCGCTCAACAGTCTGGAATTGCAGCTTGTAATCGGAGCTGTTGCGCTATACATTTTATTATTTTTATTATTCTCATTCAGAGTTTGTTTCATGTCCATGTGATTTGCTTTTCACAAACTTTTGTGTTTACTGTATTTTTCTGTTTAGTTCATCTTAGGGGCCATTATGGCTGTTGCTCATCAGGGCATGCGGGTCTCAGGCGTGCGTGTGCGGTTAACCGGTTGATGGTTCGAGGTAAGGTGATCGCAAAGTAGATCTTTCGTCAAAAAAAGTTGGGCACCCCTGATTGTGTTCCATTAACCTGCCGTGCATGCTTTTGGAAATGTGAGAGGAAACCGGATACCCACACAGGCAGTGTGAACATGCAAACTCTACACAAGAAGGCCGGAGCCAGAATCGAACCCTGCTCCTCTGAACCGTGAGGCCGACGCACAAACCTGTTGATTACCGGGCCGTCCACTTCACAAACCCAAAATTGGAAGAAAAGAGCTGTCGTAAAGTAAAATGTCAAGGTTTGTCTTGCGTTTTAATTTTTTTTGTTTTTTAGGGTGCTCATGCACCTGCATAGATTGCACCATGAGCAGTTGCCCACATTTCCCAAATCAAAACCCCGCCTTGACCTTTTTGTAGCCGTCAAAACGTTTAAGAGTGTCCAAATGATTGTTCAAAACTTGTAATGCTACAATTCTGTTTTCTGCCAGGGTGGATTTGTGTCACGCTTTGGAGAGAAACAGAGCCTGGAGGGTCAGCTGAAGCAAGTGTGCTGCTGGACCCTGCTGGCTTTAGCCTCAAGCGTCCTTTTTGACGTCATGTGGAAAAAGGTTTTGGCTAACATTGCCACCGACTGACTATCGCCAAAACTACAATATTCAAGAGTCTGCTTCACTATACTTTACTGAAGTTCAAGAGTGTTCAGTGTTGTTTTGGTTTTCGTTACATCTGAGTTTCTATTGTCACTAGTTCCACTTTGGTTGATAGTAGCAAGTCAAAATTTAACCAAATCTATTACATTACTAATTGGGCAATAATATATTTATCTGACCCAAGACATTCATATTTCACGCAGATTTAATTGAAAAACACTGTCTCAATTACACAAATGTTTGTTTTCTGGAAAACCTTGAACATTTCACAATGTAGCCAGACAATGCATGGGAAACTTTTTTTAAAACAAAAACAAAAGAAAAAACCCAATGAAAAAAACTTGACTTTCACCATACACAAAACATTGAATTTGACTTGAGAGCAGTGAAAGAGAGAAGACTTGGAGCAAGTTTCAAATTAAAGAAACTAATGGGGGATTGGAAAATTAATCCATAATATCATCCTCATCCTCACCGAATTCACCTTCATCCTCAGCAGTTGCATCCTGATACTGCTGGTACTCTGAGACCAGGTCGTTCATGTTGCTCTCTGCCTCTGTGAACTCCATCTCATCCATGCCCTCACCTGTGTACCAGTGGAGGAAAGCCTTGCGCCTGAACATAGCTGTAAATTGCTCCGAGATACGCTTGAACAGCTCTTGGATGGCTGTGCTGTTGCCAATGAAGGTGGCGGCCATCTTGAGGCCCCGAGGAGCGATGTCACACACTGCGGTCTTGACGTTGTTGGGGATCCATTCGACAAAGTAGCTGCTGTTTTTGTTCTGTACATTGAGCATCTGCTCATCCACCTCCTTCATGGACATGCGGCCACGGAAGATGGCAGCCACAGTCAGGTAGCGACCTTGGCGTGGATCGCAGGCGGCCATCATGTTTTTGGCATCAAACATCTGCTGGGTGAGCTCAGGCACAGTGAGGGCTCTGTACTGCTGGCTGCCTCTGCTTGTGAGGGGGGCAAAGCCTGGCATGAAGAAGTGCAAACGGGGGAAGGGCACCATGTTGACGGCCAGTTTGCGCAGGTCGGCGTTGAGCTGTCCGGGGAACCGGAGGCAGGTGGTAACGCCGCTCATGGTCGCCGAGACCAGGTGGTTGAGGTCGCCGTAAGAAGGAGTGGTGAGCTTGAGTGTGCGGAAGCAGATATCGTACAGCGCTTCATTGTCGATGCAGTAGGTCTCATCTGTGTTCTCTACTAGCTGGTGGACAGACAGCGTAGCGTTGTATGGCTCAACCACTGTGTCGGATACTTTTGGAGAAGGCACCACACTGAAGGTGTTCATGATGCGGTCTGGGTACTCTTCACGGATTTTGCTGATGAGCAGAGTGCCCATTCCGGAACCAGTACCGCCACCCAGAGAGTGCGTGAGCTGGAAGCCCTGGAGGCAGTCACAGCTCTCAGCTTCCTTCCTGACGACATCCAAGACTGAGTCCACCAGCTCTGCACCCTCTGTGTAATGACCCTTCGCCCAGTTGTTACCAGCACCACTCTGCCCTATAAGAAAAATCAACAACACTATGGTTATGTACTCTCGTAGTACTGCATGAGAGAATACCAACTAAAACAGAATAAAGTAAATTGCCTTCTGGTTTTCTCTGATGTAAAAACTACTCACCAAAGACAAAGTTGTCTGGTCTGAAGACCTGACCAAAAGGCCCGGACCTCACGGAGTCCATTGTGCCTGGCTCCAGATCAACCAAAACGGAACGAGGAACATATTTTCCACCTATGAGAGGAGTGAGGTATATAGCTATAGTGGCACAAGATATTTCAAAATATGTATTAAATCTTACCCGAAGCTTCGTTGTAATAGACATTTATCCTGTCCAGTTGCAGGTCACTGTCACCATGGTATGCACCAGTTGGGTCAATGCCGTGCTCATCACTGATCACCTCCCAAAACTAAAGGCAAACCAGAAATGTGCACAGCTAGTAAAACAAGTCAATTGTTGCGACAGTGTTTTAATATATTCTTATGGCACCGATACAGCAACTCTTCAAAAGATATGGGGCCTTGTTTTCCCCAACCCTGACTATTTGTGGATCATTCCATACAGTAGCTTTTACACAACATTGAAGATCCATTACTTTCAGACAAAGTGGTACCAAATACCGAAAACAAATATAGTATAAAAAAACACCTCGCCACAGTAGCGGGTTTTCTTCAAAGTTGCGATACAGAGTATGTCTTGTAGACTCATACTTTCTCCAAAAACGTTTCAAAAAAGTGTACGCAACATTTAAACATATATCAACATTTTAAATGGTGAACGACCCTTCAAAAACAAGGGACAGTCTCCAGACACATATCAAAGTCATCAAACGAAACAGCAGGTCCCGTGCCATGCGATGCGCCATCCTGTTTTGAACAAAGGCCAGCTTCCAAGCATACCAAGTATAACCAATTACAAGTTTGGCTACTTTTATGGGGTCTTCAAGGAAAATGTTGCGACAAATCAAGTTTTATCCATTTTGGCCTGATACTCAGAAGTCGGCGTTTTTCGTGGAACTTTGGACAACACAAGTACATGGCGGATCTGTTCGCTTAAAATGTTAAGGCAGGCGTTTACAAGTCTTGAAATTAAACAGATGTTCATTATAGAAAAGACGGGGATAAGCACCCTAATTAAAAAAAAAAAAAACTGCCCGGATATAACATCGAATACCTCACGTCAATATAACAAGTCGAGAACGGAAACAGGTATCGGCTAACCTTAGCACCAATCTGGTTTCCACACTGACCGGCCTGGAGATGCACAATTTCTCTCATTTTCTGTCACGTTAATCGTGTCTCAAATGTTCCAAGCAATTCTAAACGCCCACGTCGTCTCGTCTAAGACTTGTTAACATGTGCGCCGCTGACGAACTCCCCCGCCTCTTTATTCCCCAAACTACTCGGTTATTGGTTGACGCTGACATAAATGACTTCAAGACAAGCTTGCCCACCAACGAAATTGCGGAAGTCTCTCTGCGATTGGTCGTCTTTCTTTCCAAGAGGAAACGGACTGATTTCAAGTTCAATGCTTTCGAGAAAATCTGTGTAACAATGTTTTTGAAATATTCAATTTACAAAACAGACAGACAGACAATAAACAAGCAATAAAGTCATGAATGCATACATTAGTTCAGGGGTCACCAAATTTTTTTTAAATTGAGAGCTAATTCTTAATGATTCATGCGAAGGGCTACCAGTTTGATACATTCTTTTGAGACAAATGAGCTCAAATGACCTTTAATAATGTTATCATTGTTATTAGTGATATTTCATCATATTCATTCATGTGAAGACACTGATCATGTTCATGATTGTTCGATAAGTAAACACACATCAACATGCAACACTATTTTCATTCATCTCTGCCAGTGTTTACACTCACTTCAACAACATTCCAAGAAAATCACAATGTCCCCTTACATGTGAGTAGGCCGTGGGCAACACATGTGGTCCTTGGGTGTAACTTGGTGCCCATGGGCTCCACGTTGGTGAAGCCTGGATTAGATGATAAAACAAGCCAGGAAGATTAAAAAGAAAAACATTTTTAAAAGAGCATAAAGCAATAGCTGTAATGGATTTATTGTTTTTGGAATTGAATATGCGACTCAAAAAATAAGAAATTAGGTTTTGATTGACGATATTTGGATTTGTGGGCTCTGGCGGTGGTGGTTACACAAAGGTTTCATCATGCTTTCAAAGTGCAAACATGAATGCTGTAGTTCCTCAACATGACAATAGTTCATTTCAGCTTCGCTCTGATCAATGAAATAGAATTTAAATTGCCAATAATGGTCATTACATTAAACCACCACAAAATAGCCAGAGTTGGCGAGTTGTGCATCAGCAACACTTGCACTTCACATTCGGTAAGTGCTGAATGGAAAGACGGAAAAATAATGAACGATAAACCGGCACGTTAGGTTAAGCTGTCATTCAATATACTGTATGAAGTTTCGATGGTGTGCGTACAACTACCGGTTGAGGTGGTGATGATGACTGGCATCTCTATTTCCCAATTGTCTCTTTTTGTGAGTGATCCCTCATTCCTATTTTGAGACATTTCCCCCCAATACCTGAAACTAAAATGAGCAACAACTATAGCACTTTCTTCCAAGATACTGTTCAAAGAATGTTGATTCACTCAACACACTAAAAAGGTACATTTGTATATAAATTTTTAAAAATGGCTGCACTTTACAGCTACAATGTGTGTCAAAAAAGGACTGGTGTCACAAACCCAAACTACAAGTTTTCCTTTAAAGTTATCTGCCTAGAGTTTAGCTCACTTTCCCAGCATTCTTCTCATGAAAGGACTCATCCAGGATCCACTGTAGTGCCAGTCTGTATTATGGCATTCCTGAAGTTGTCCAAGTCCTCAAAAATCATCAATAATCATCCCCTCATCTAGTGGTTCTTAACCTTGTTAGAGGTACTGAGCCCAACCGGTTCATATGCACATTCACTGAACCCTTCATGAATGAAAAATAAAGAGTCCAATTTTTTTTTTTTTTTTTACAAATTCAAGACATAAAAACGCTTTAATTGAAAACAGAAAAAAATGTAAACACAATTAGTATAATTATAAAGCCTACTTTTTTAAATGTGTGCACAAAATGAACCAGCCAGTGATGGCCAAGTGGGCGTATCATAACTCATTGACATGTTGAGTCGGGCATGTCTTAACCTCCATGGCAGAGGCTCTGTCGAACCCCTGAGACTGATTTACCGAACCCCTGGGGTTCGATCAAACCCAGGTTAAGAACCACTGCCCTCATCAAACTCACACAGGGTCGGGCGAATCGGGAGGGTGGGCGAGCACGGCGATTTTTTTTCTCAGATAGGAACTGTCAGATGCTTAGGACATTGAAAGCAGGTGTGTAGTCAAGGTGAAGGAGCTGGACTGAACGGAGCAAACATCGCAGGATGCCTATGTAAATGTCAGGATTGATTGTCATCCATATTGAAGGGAAAAACTTGGAATTTGGGTTT